TTAAATACTTAATTTAAAATTAAATAAAAAAATATACCCAATTTTTTAATTTTAACAATTAAGTATGTTTAATTAAGTAATAAAAAATTAAAGGGGGTGACTTTAACAATTTTGAGTCCCCAAGGAAAAAACTTTACTTTCTATCATCGGAAGAAAAAACTTTACTTTATAAACAAGACTAAGCGACAGCAATGGAGCAACAATGGGTTGGATTAAATGAAAAAAAAAATAAAAAATAACCAACCGAACTCAAAGTATACGAACGTATTATGAATTGATAATGATTAACACGTATGTTTGATTCGGGTTAAATACAAAATTTAATGTATAATATATTGTATTGATATAGGTAGAATGGTCAATTTAGATTTTATCTTAACGAATTATGATGTATTCAAATAAAAATATATATATTTTTTCTTTTAACTGAGGTATTTATAATGGAGTAAAAAATTTAATATAATTTTTTATTTCATTAAAAAAATAATTTTTTACTTTTTTTTAAAATGATAATTTTAAATTTTATTTAAAACGTAGAATTCACAGTTTTATGGGTATATTATAAGTTAATAATAATGAATTATAATATTTAATTAATAAAAATAATGACTAACCCATATATTTGATTCAGATTAAATATAAAATTTAATGTATAATATGTTATATTGATTGAAATATATTAGTCAATTTAAATTTTATCTTAACGAATTATGATGTATTTAAATAAAAATATATATTTTTAATTAAGGTATTTATAATAAAATAAAAAATTCAATATAATTTTTAATTTTATTAAAAAAACAACCACATCGTAATATTAATGGTTAAAATTTTTAATTTTTTTTTAAAAAATTATAATTTCGAACTTTACTTAAAAGGTACAATTCACAAATTTTTGTGGGTGTATTATAAATTAATAATAATAAATTATAATGTTTGATTAATAAAAGTAAAAATTTGAGTTATTAATGTGTTAATAAAATTATATTAATTAAAATAAACTTCATTCTAATAAAATATGATATATATATATATATATAGGCCAAAGAAACTTTTTAATAAAAATTAAATTTTTTTTAGTTAGAGATAATCACAAGTAATAAATATTTCTGAACTTCAATTTTGCATATCAATGGAGTTTTGAAAGACAGATAGGCTGTTTCTGTCAAGAAGGTAGACTGGTTTACTGTCAAGTGTCAACAAGTAAGACCTTGTTGCTTCTAAATCACCATTTTTTCTTTTTATAATAAATAATAATTGAATACAGTTTGTTCTTCAAGAAAATTATGAAAATTGAATTCTGTAGTCGCCAACATTTTCTTTTCTCTTTGATTTTTTAAAAAAAAATATAAAAAGGAATCAGACACCCACATGATAATATATGGAAGATGACAGATGCCCTGCACTACACCACCATTGAATAAAGTAGCTACCATCACCACCATACACTCCATTTCCACCAAAAACCCAGAAAGTTTCTTTCTTTACTCCTCTCTCCTGATCCTCCACATTCATCTTTTTCTGGGTTTTTGCTGTAGATAAATCAATCAAGAAGAAAAATGAGTATGTACGGGAGGGATCCCTGGGGAGGCCCTCTTGAGATCAACACGGCGGATTCCGCCACCGACGACGATCGGAGTAGGAATCTGCAGGATTTGGACAGGGCGGCGCTGTCTTCTTCTCGCCCTTTGGATGAAACTCAGCAAAGTTGGCTTCTTGGTCCCGGTGAGCAGAAGAAGAAGAAGTATGTGGATCTAGGCTGTATCATTGTAAGCAGGAAGCTTTTTGTTTGGACCGTCGGTACCATCCTTGCCGCCGGCTTTCTTGCCGGATTTATCACTCTGATTGTCAAAACGGTGCCTCGTCATCACCATGCTCATGCTCCTCCTGATAACTACACCCTTGCGCTTCACAAGGCCCTCATGTTCTTCAATGCTCAGCGCTGTAAGTCTTTCATTTTTGTTTTTTCTGTTATCTTCAAATGGGTGTTCTAGTTTTGTTTTAGTTTAGCTGGTAATATTCGTTGTTCAATTGCTTACTCCTTCTCACCTAGATCTAGTCTTGTATGCTGATTCTGATCTGATTTGATTTACTATCTACTGTACTAGTAGATCACTGTTCTAAATGGACTGAAGCTGAATTGGAAGAGTCATTTTTAATTTAGGAAACCATCTAATTTTCCTTAAAAATATAGGAAAATGATCTGTTTTATCCAGTTTTTCTTCCCTTCTTGGTTCCATATCCAAATATCCAAAGAGATCTTTGAGAAACTTTGGAATTTTTTTTTTTGGGTTCATTATCTTCATGGATCTTCCTTTCTGATTCCTTTTCTCTTTCCTTAAAAAGAATAGGATTTTATCTGTTTTTCTTCCCATCTAGTCTTCATATGCAAATATTGAAAGAGATCTTTAAGAAAGTTCGGATTTTTTTTTTTTTTTCTGGGTTCATTTTGCAGCTGGGAAGCTCCCAAAGCATAATAATGTGTCCTGGCGTGGTAACTCGTGTCTACGAGATGGAAAGTCTGATCCATCAACCGTGATGAAAGATCTGGTGGGTGGTTATTATGATGCTGGAGATGCCATCAAATTCAATTTCCCCATGTCATTTGCTATGACAATGTTGAGCTGGAGTGTGATTGAGTACAGTGCTAAATACGAAGCTGCTGGGGAGCTCAACCATGTTAAGGACATCATCAAGTGGGGAACTGACTACTTCCTAAAGACTTTTAACAGTACGGCTGACACCATTGACAGGCTTGTTGCTCAGGTAGGGGCGTGCTCATGCTTTGCTATAGATTTGTCTTCTTTCATTTAACAATGCATACTATGATGACTTGAGTTTCTCTAACCTGTTAACGCTTTGATTTATAGGTTGGATCAGGAGATACATCGGGAGGAAATACCAACCCGAATGACCATTACTGCTGGATGCGTCCTGAGGACATCGATTACGATAGGCCTGTTACTGAATGTCATGGCTGCTCAGATCTTGCGGCGGAAATGGCTGCTGCTTTGGCTGCTGCGTCCATTGTGTTCAAAGACAACAAGGCCTATTCACAAAAGCTTGTCCATGGTGCCAGAACACTCTTTCAGTTTTCCAGAGATCAACGCGGAAGATACAGTGCTGGTGGTTCAGAGGCTGCCACGTTTTATAACTCAAGCATGTACTGGGATGAATTTATTTGGGGTGGAGCCTGGTTGTATTATGCAACTGGGAATGTTACTTATCTTCAGCTCGCTACTCTTCCTGGTATTGCTAAACATGCTGGTGCATTCTGGGGAGGCCCAGACTATGGCGTCCTTAGCTGGGACAACAAGCTTGCTGGTGCTCAGGTTAGTTGGTGGATCTTCTTGATACCTTGTTACTGTACGGTAGTTAGCTATGCAGAGGGCATTCAGCGGATCATTCATTTTATTTCCACGTGTTTTTAACTTATTGAAGCCGTGGGCTACTGATTGTATAACTGCTGCTGAGATATACTTTAAACTTATTGTGGTTTCTTTTCTCCTTTGGTTATGTAGGTGTTTTCTTTCTCCTATCTTTAAGAACCTCATGTAGGCCTTGTTTGAGGAAGCTTTACTTAGAATAGAAGTTTCCAAGTCATAAGCAGCTCTTTGAAGTAGCCTCTAGCAGTTTGATGGTTCAGAAATCATACTGTGTAGTTTCGTCATGTGAAGTCCGCTTAGGATAGTAAAATATTTTTTTATTGTGTTCCATTTGATTCTTGGTCGTCCTACTTCTCTATCTCTTTGTCATCCATTTCCATACTTGACAAGATGTTTACCCTTTATGTTCATGTGTGAAGCATCTATAGCAGTCACCTATGCTTGAGTTCTGATAGATGACACGGGGACAAGTACAGGAAATTTTAATTGAATGGCAATCAGATTGTTGAGTCTTTATTGGTCCTGGTCTTGCTAAACAAATATCAGTCCTTTTTTAAACTACCTTTTTCCTACTTGTTCTTGCTCTGAGTAATTCAGAATGTGGTTTCAGTCTTTTGTATTTGAAGTGTTGCAAAGTGTGATCCGAAGCTTTCAGTAAAAACGGTTCTTTATTATTTTACTTTTTAAGATCGTCTTTTCATAATTGTTCCACTTCTGCTTTGTTATTTATGTCTCTGATTCTGTCATCTTTAGTGGGGTTAACAAATGCATCACTAAAGATGACAGAATCAGATATACAAATTTTGGAGAATTGATTGATTACATGGTTCAAGTGCCTGGAAATGTGCTAACTTTGAATGTGCGCGTTCTTGCATTATTAACTTTGCTTGTTGCTTGACTTTAGGTTCTTCTTAGCCGGCTGAGGTTGTTCTTAAGTCCTGGCTATCCCTATGAAGAAATATTGAGGACATTCCATAATCAAACCAGCATAGTCATGTGTTCGTACCTGCCAAATTTCACGAGTTTTAATAGAACCAAGGGTAAGCTACACTTAGTTGTGTGATCAGTGATAGTCAGCATAAATAATTGTTTCCATGGTGATCTCACTGTTGCTTTATCGAAATCTTTGTCAGGAGGCTTGATCCAATTGAATCATGGAAGGCCTCAGCCTCTCCAATATGTGGTCAATGCAGCCTTCTTAGCTACCTTATTCAGTGATTACCTTGATGCTGCTGATACACCCGGGTGGTACTGTGGGCCTAATTTCTATTCAACTGATGTCTTGCGTGAATTTGCAAGGACCCAGGTATTTGTTATTGTGCAAGTTGGTCTAGCACTTGGTGATCTGATTTTTCACACTAAATCATAACAATGATGGGTATTGATTGTGTTTTGCATCCTATTCTTTTGGCAGATGAATTACATCCTCGGTAAGAATCCTAGGAAAATGAGCTATGTCGTTGGTTTCGGAAACCATTACCCGAAGCATGTCCACCATAGAGGTGCATCTATTCGTAAGGATAAAATTAAGTATAACTGTAAAGGAGGATGGAAATGGAGGGACACTAAGAGCCCAAACCCCAACACAATTGTTGGAGCCATGGTTGCCGGTCCTGACAAGCATGATGGTTTTCATGATGTTCGAACTAACTACAATTATACAGAGCCAACGCTCGCAGGCAATGCTGGTTTAGTTGCAGCTCTTGTGGCACTATCTGGTGACAAGTCTACTGGGATTGACAAGAACACCATCTTCTCTGCAGTGCCACCAATGTTTCCAACCCCACCACCACCTCCAGCGCCTTGGAAACCTTGAGATGCCAAAAGAGTATCAGATGATTTTGCGGAAGCACTGCTCTTTTTTCTTCTTTTACACTTGGATGACTGGAAGGCAATGACAAATCATAAAGTGGACATAGGAAGAGGAGTCTATGAGATGCTTTGAAGACAATGGTCCATACTGGGCTTCAATTAGAACCTCAGCTAGCATTAAGAAATGATTGTTGTGTCTGCAAATGTATGTTTGATTTTTCAGTATACATACTACATGTGTATATATCCATCGTGTTTTCTTTGATAGAGTGATTTGAA